AATTATCATGATAACACAACAGACAACAGTAAGCACAATTCCTACAACAAAAAACACTAAGAATCATATAAAACCCAAATTTATGCTTTTTGTTTTATCAGGAGAAAAAAAGATAGTATGTAGAAAAAGTAGCCCCAAATAAATTATTCTTAATACAATGGAGATAGAAAACAGAGGTAGAAAACAATAAATAATAAAAATATAAGAAAGGGAAAATAAGGTCAAGCATGGTGTGTCTGCATTCTAGAAAGAGGTCAGTGTCAAAACGTGTAATAGATGTGATATTGTAAGAGACAGGCTCAGCCACTATAGACCAAGTGCAGGAGGGCATAAGTCGGTTCCATTCAGCTTCATTTGATGTTTGAAATAGGCAACCAGCATGAAAAGTGCACTATGTGCACTCATTAATTTATATATTTACATATAAAATTTTAAAATCAAATAACAAGACATTTTGATGATGGGACACACCAACACACAATGTCACATCAGTGACAAATCAATCAGTCCATCGTGAGACTTTCACAAACAATCCACATAGTTGAACACAATTCTTCTTCTTCTTCTTCGCCACCTTAAAGTGGCCGTGTGACTTGATTTGACCAATGATATATGAGAATGAAAATGTTTCCAGAAATACAGGTCTCAAGAATCTCCCTCAAGAAGGAACACAGATGAATACTTCTTCCTTCATTTTCTGTAAACCGCAAAGGGAAGCCTGGAACCAGCGAGTGTGTCACCACGCCCCTCTGAAGAGCCGCGTCAGACTGGCAGAACGAGGAGCAGACAGTGGCATTCAGGAGTGTTAGCAACTCAGAATGAGCTAACCAACTGCACCGAAACATGAAATTAAAGAAATAAATCAGGGAAACAGAGTGGATGACAGTATGTAGAAGCAGGCATTAGCATAATGTAATCATAAATCAATGGGTGGGTTAATGAAAGGCGCTGCTGTAACTGCCTGTCTGTCTTGAAGACGAACGCCACTCTCACACAAGCCTTACACATATGTTACAGTCGATTTTACATGGATGAAGATTGCTGAATGTTGAAAGAGAGTTAATGATTACAAAAATATTAGTAGACAGGAAATAAGAGTCAAAGATATCCCTATTTTAACCACAATTTGAAGCCCTGACATAGCTAAAAGAGGCATATTGAGTTACAGGAAAATATAAACCTTTATATAGCAAAAGTCATTATGAAAAATGTCAACAGGAAAACACGTGAGCTGGAAATATGGCTGAACAGATAGCAATAGCTTATTAGGTGTAATGTACAATAGTGACTATAAATTTTCAATGCATAAAAATAATACAAAGAAACTGAAGTGCAGTGATTAACCCAAGCACAAATACTAAAGTCACAGATCTATGAAATGGAAAAATTCATTTGTAGTCAGATAAATGTAAATAAAATAAAGAACAGTAGGTCACTCCATATCTAACAGACTATAAGTGCAGAGGACACAGCTTTCCTTCTAGTGGATGCATGTGGGGAAGAAATGTTCACTTGTTTATGATAAAATTGAGAAACGATGCTCTCATTTCTAATGAAACTAATCTGGTAAAATCTAGCAAAATGATGAGCAGAGAAACACAAATTTTTATACAGAAATGTCACTTATCAATTTGGTCCATATCAATTTAAGCACTAAGTTTCAAGGATGTCCTCCCAGCATAATGTGAGTTACATTAAAGTCTAAACAACACAAAGAAATGTACACATGCACTCTTCTACTGCCTCCCATGTCTGCTTAAAAAGCTGTCTTTGCAACTCTTACATAAATGTAAAGAGAAAGTGTGGGGGAAAGAAGGAGAGCCGGAGAGGGAGGCTTATTTAGATGGAGCATAGTGAATAGATCATCACAAAACCCAGAGAGCAATAATGGGAAATGTCCACAGCTGCTCAGTCCATTTTCACACAACACGGCAGACTCCGGAACCTCATGTCTCTGTCAGCTTACTTCAGCCAGACCCTGGAATGAGACTTGCGTTGCTCCCCTTCTGTGGAAGGCATCTCCCTGAGCAGGTAGCAGAGTTAGGAGCAGAAATCCCAGTGCAAGCTCTGATATCATGACCAGGTCTGCTCTAGGGACATTTGCACGAGGCTCATCACACTTTCTTTAGAGTGACAGAGATGAGATACTCAGCTCTGGAAGAAATGCTTAGTTTGGTTCGCAGGCGTGGAAAGCTCGGTCTGTGATTGGGGAGTCCAACATTTTGGGGACTGTGGTGTTACTGAGCATCATACAAGGTTTAGCAGAACATATTACGTGGCAGCTGAGGAGGAAAGACAGACAGAAGGGATGACCCCAGTGTCCATCCAGCGGCCAGGAGATCTCCCACTTATCTCACTGCCTCAGGTATCTTCCACCTCCACACACCATGAAGCACCAACTTCTAACCCGTGGGTCTTAGGAAACACACCAGATCCAAACCAAGGTAGCACTCAGCCTACAACAGGACCATCAGCATCTCTCTGGCTCCATCCACCCTCACATTGCTGAGTACCACCTCTTCTTCCAATTATGCCCGTCCATTTTACAGTGTACCATCCATGTGGTAAGGGGAAAAGGGAGAGGAGAAAACACACAATCTGCTTTGTTGATATTGGTCTGCACAGTCTGCTAAGGAGAACAGAGAGAACAAACTAAAAGAGGAAAGAAGTAAGACTGACTGCATTAAACTGAAATGCACACATGTGCACACATGCACACATGCATACACACACATGAGCATGCACACACTGTTTTATTTATTGCTGTGTACTTGTTACAAAGCTGGGTATGTAACAATTTTAAGTAGAGAATACCTAGTATTGTCCCCAAATATTTCCTAAACTACATAAAAGATAATAAAGACACAGTTTATCTAACCATCATTTAAATCATTTTATTACTAGACACAAGTTTCAATTTATATCAATAGATTTACAAAGCTGTAATAGTTCATCACATTAAATAGATGCTAATAAATACAATACAATTATTAAAATTTTTTCTGTGAAGCAAAAAATAATTTTAAAATGTGCATAATAAAATATAGATGTATTTTTTAATATCAAGAACCAAGAAATTGGGGGTAAGGAATCCCATCAGACATATAAGCTTTATCTGTATGTATAATTATTCTTGAAAATGAGACCATATTGTAAACAGTTTTTTATAACCTTCTTTATTCTATTTCAGTGACTTGCTTTGCTTTTATCAAAATACCTGTCAGTTGAAGTTACCACACTCTTGGCAAGATAACCTTATGGATTTGGGTGCTTTACGTCATCCATGCTTTGCTTGTTCGTTAATACCTAGAAGAATCTCCCATACAACACAGACAATGGATAAACTCAACTTATGAAAGAATTTTCCTATGTGAGCTTAATGAATGGAGGTCCTGTGGCTTACAGATGTTCAAGTCTGCTCCCCAACAGACTTCACGCTTGGTGTCTGCTCTTTTAATGTTTAGAGATGATGGAAGCTCAGCCAGGGAACTAGGCTACTGGGCAAAAGGCCTCTGAAGAAATTAAGGCCTTTCTTCCTCAGCATTAAAAGCAGTCATTATAAAAGAGAGTCTGCAGCTGGATCCCTCCTGGATTGTTGTAAGGCCACGTGTTTTTCTCATTGTGAGATTCTGCCAGGCACAATGGTGCCTTCCTCTACACCCGCATCTGTCTGCAAGGTGTCACAGAGGCCAGTGACATTTATTTTTAGTTCTTTGAACCAAATAAAGCTCTCATCTTTCTGAACTACCCAGGCCAAGACATTTTGTTTGGGCTGACACAGAAAGACATACCGTACTAAGAAAGTACAGTATATCTGATTTCTAACTATTGCTTACATTTGTTTTAACTTAGCTTTACTGGGCACAGCATTGTAGATTTCTATAGATACATGGGCACACAGTCTCTCTTACTTCCTTGGTACAAATCTCTAGATATTTGAGCAATGGGGCAGGGGTTGTGCACATGTTTAATAATGTCATATGAAGCAGGAGGGCCTGCTTGTTCATCCAGAACGCCCAGCTAGCTAGTCACAATATAACCACACAGAAACTATATTAATTAAATCACTGCTTGGCCCATTAGCTCTAGCTTCTTATTTGCTAACTCTTATATTTTATTTAACCCATTTATATTAGTCTGCATATCACCATGAGGTTGTATCTTACCAGCAAAGATTCAACACATCTGACTCTGGTGGTGGCTCTATAGCATCTCTCTGACTCTGCCTTCTTCCTCCCAGAATTCAGTTCCACCTTTCTTGCCTACCCATGTTCTGTCCTATCAACAGGCCAAGGCAGTTTCTTTATTCATTAATGGTAATTACAGCACACAGAGGGAACTCCCACATCATCTCCCCTTTTTGGTTTAAATAAAAAGGAAGGTTTTAACTTTACCATGGTAAAATTACATATAACAGGTATCACGCAAGAATTACAGTTACAATATTTATATATGTTTTATTTTTATCATAACTACAGAAAGCTATAACTATAACTATAAATTTTTCAACTCTATCAAAGACTCTAGAAGGATATAATATTACCCAAGCAAACAGGAAGTACATTGTAAGCACCTTCCAAAACTCTAGAATTCACAGAGACATATTGCTGCCTGGATAGTCAACGAAAGTTTTTTGTACTGTTGGGGCATCCATCTTTAGCCTACAGGCCCATAGTATCCAGCAGATTTTTCCATGAAGCAGTAAATTTCCAAGACAGTTCCACCTATATTGGCAGTTTGTCAGTCACTTTCTTCTGTGTCCTGCAGAATGTCTAGCAGACTCTTTTATGAAGCAGGAACCCCAAAGGATGGTCTCATCTTTAGGCAAGTTCAGCAATCATTTCTCTGTGGGTCCTGAATGTCCAGTTAAGCAGTCTAGGCAAGAGCAGTTTCTTGCCCAAATGGCTGCAAACTCCATAAGGAGTCTCTTTGATGCCCATCTTCCTCTCTAAGTAATTGTTGTTGCCAGGAGCAGACGTGTCTCGTTGTCATGAAAAGTTCTAAGTTCTTAAAATACTTTAAATGCCATATTCTGAAGGTCTCTGAAAGATTTGAAGAATACCTATCCATTTGAACTACATTTCTGTACATCTAGAAAATCTAACTAACATGACTACAAGCTTGGCAATTATAGATGACTCTCTATTAACCTATATTTCTTAATTATACATCATGTTTTTAAATGAACTACATAATCACAATACTTAATCAAGAGCAGAAATATACATACAACAAGATTGACCTTAAGTTTGTATCAATAAACCAAGATCTATACCCATGCAAATTATTCACATCTATAACATATCCCCCTTTAAATGTAAAAGAACAATTATAAACAATATTTGGGAATATGGGTATAGTTCTGTTCATATTGTTTCCTGTTGTTTGGGGGCACTGTTAATCAGGTCTTTCATGGTGTATCTTGTGTGCTAGGTTCATCTCAGTCAGCAGTTAGGCAAAGTAATTTTTTGAGGGTATTCACAGCAACCTTTCAGGGGGCATGGTCTATCAAACCTCATTAGGCTAGAAGCAATCCATGGGTTCTCATCCTCTGTGAAAACAAAAGAATAACCTCTTTTCCAAACACCATATCCTTAGACCCAAACTCTGAAGTCAAGATATCTTTATAATATACATGCTGGTTTATCTTTACCCTTTTTAATCTATAACTGTTTTTATTCTGTCTCTTTAAAGACATTTTTTTTTCTTTTTCAACTCTTTATACTCTCTTTCTTCTCTCTCCCAAGCCTATGTACCTTTATAGAACACTGTGACCCATTTAGACGTCTTTTATGTCTGAATCTGTCCTATTGTGAATCTATAATTCTTTACTGCCCAAAAGCACTTCTTAAAATGCTAAGGGCTTCTTAAAAACTTAAGTTGCACCATTAGTAGGGTACATACGGTACTTCCTGCTTGCTCAGCACAGTCCAGCATGGTGGAGCTGCTCACCGCCTCTGAGAGACAGGCACAGTGCCCTATCTCTAGACACACAGCGGGTCCATGCCACCATTAAGCAAGCTGCAGCAGTTTACTTCCAAACTCCACTCAAATGATCGATCTCCTGAAAGAACCAGTGGTCATGCTGGCAGCATAGACCAGAAAGCCAGCATTTTAAAATGGTGCCTTTTTTCCTGCTATGGCTGAATCAGGAAAATCTCTCTTAAAGGAGCCATGCCCCTGTTTGCTTCTAGCAAACAGAGTCCATCCAAGAAAATGCTGCTAGCAAACCATGCTTCACTCTATTCTTTTGTGTCTAGAATTAATTCTTAAGATTTTTCGGGTTTTTATGTGGCTGAAGTTAGCCACATTGGGTGCCAATTTGTTCATCCCAGAAGACCAGCTAGAAATAACCACACAGAAACTGTATTAATTAAATCACTGCTGACTCAATAGTTCTAGTTTCTTATTGGCTAACTCTTATATCTTAATTCGATCCGTTTTTATTAATCTGTATATCATCATGAGGTCATGGCCTACCAGCAAAGCTCCAGCAGGTCTAGTTCCGGCTGTGGATCCATGGCATCTCCCTGACTCTGCCTTCTTCCTCCCAGCATTCAGTTCTGTCTTTCCCACCTCCCTAAGTTCTGCCCTATCAACAGGCCAAGGCAGTTTCTTTATTCATTAATGGTAAGTACAGAACACAAAGGGGACTCCCACATCAGTCATATACTTTGGTAAATAAAGAGCCATCACTGTTTCAATTCTCTACCCCCTTAGTGTGGGAATTTTGATTTTTTAACAGCAGTTACGTTAATAGTCACCATTAACAATTTCAAAGGCAAATGGTTTTCTATTTCATAGGTTATTAATAGGCATACTCTATCACAGTAATTTATGAATTACTTTTTGGGTCTCCTGCCATGGTCCTATGTTGAAGATTTTCAATAAAAGCAATTATCATCTATTTGCCTGTTATGCTATCTTCCTAGTTTGCAACCTGTCGTTTATAATCCTCTAGTGATCTTCAAACTTATCTTTTGAATTCCAAACACTTCAGCACATCTTGCCCAGAAACAAGGTTTTTAAAAATAAGTGCCCCTTTAACTGATATTTTTCTTTTTTCTTTTTTTTTACCATGGCAGAAAAATATAGAAAAGGTAAAAGACTTCTTTAATATTATGCAATGTGTTATAACAGGGCTAGGGTACACATAAAATACCATCATATAGTCAGAATTATCATCCCGTATATAACGCAGTGATGGGTGAACTACATTGAACCCTTACTAAAAATAATGATTGTAACCACTAATGAAAATACTTATGACAAAGTTATGACTATAAAATAGTGTAATTATTATGAAAAGAAAATCATCTAGACCTCTCCTTAATAAAGATAAAACAGGCTTCAAAGACTTCAATCATCAGCAATTATATCTAACTTGGATTTTATTAACACTTTACTTTCAGTCATAATCAAGTCTTGAAAATGATTGTATAGCAACTTCGGTGTGTTTCACAACTTGAACTAAGGGAGTTTTCCCCTATATTTAGTTTCTCTTTGAGTGTGCTTCTGAGTAGTGTATGTGCAGGTGTGTAGGTACCATCCTTCAGGATGCCTGAAGCTTGATTGAAGCTACTGCTTCAGTGGTAAGTGTATCACTTACCACTTCAGGTATCCTCCTGCGTCCATTTATATCTCCCCTCACATCACAACCACCTAGGCCTGGCATTTTACGTGGATTCTGGGGACCTGAACTTTACTTGCACGAGCAAGCACTTTACATACAGAGCCATCTCCCTATCCCATGGTATAAACCTTTAACTGATTTTTAAATACTTAGTAGTTCTTTGAGAATTTCACATCATGTATTTTGAGTGGGAATTGACCTGGAGGCCTCATCCCTCCTGGGTAACTTTCAAAGTTTTGGAAGATGTTGCACACACTACTAGAGGAGGGGCATGGTCATCAGTCTCTCCCAGATGGGAATGCTGCTAGCTATGGAAATGACCAGCCTGGCCAGACATATTTTCTGTTGCAATAGTGGCATGAATATCATGGGAGCAACCAAATATTTTCTGATCAGATTTAAGTCCTGATCTATAAGATTAAACCTTTTACCAGTTATTTGTGTGTGTGTGTGTGTGTGTGTATTTCTGACATATCTTAATGTTTTTATTATGTTTTGAGATTATACAATAATTACATCGTTTCCCTTCTTCTCTACCTTCCCATATAAGGATCCTTACTCTTTTTCAAATCCAAGACTTCAGTTTGGTTTTATATGCATAATTCATAAATATATAAATACAACCTGTTCAGTCTTTATAATGTTACTTGTATGTATGTTTTAGGTCTATCCATTTGGTATGGTATTGGGTAACCATATGGTGTGCTCTTCTCTGAGAAAGACTATTTCTCACGCTCTCAGCATTCCTTTGTTGCCTATAGTTATTTGAATACTATAGAAATGAGGTCTCTGGGCTTCCCCCATCCATGTTATAATGTCTATCGATGTCCTTGTTCAGCTCTTACTTAGTTGGTCATATTAGTGAGAGTTTATGGGTTTAACTTCAAGCATTCACAGGAAACACAAGTAAGCTCTGTTTCTCTGACCTTTACAATCTTTCTGACTCCTCTTCACAATGATCCCTGAGCCTTAGGCATAGGAGTCATGTTATAGACCTATCTCTGGAACCAGGTTCCATGAGTCTGTATTTTTAATGACATAGTTTTCTGTAATGATCTCTGTCTGTTGCAAAGCCAAATTTTTTTGATGAGGGTTGAAGACTACACTTACCTGTTGGTGTAAAGACACATGTTTATAATGTAGCTTGGGATTATTCTGGTTTAGTGCATGGGTAGCTTCAGGTTCACCTCCAAGATCCACAGCTTCACTAGTCCTGACTGGCTTGCTAAATGTATACTATCAGGCAAGATGTCCCTTTTGTTGACCAGGTCTTAAGTCCTGATCTATAGAGATGTTGGTTACTGCTAAAGTACACATGCCACTGCTGCACCCTAAAGTTATTGTGATGTGATAGGTGTTGTAGTGGTTCATTGGTGTCATTTTTCAAACTGACTTCTTTCAAAAATATACTTAACATTTGTGATCTTTTACTGATTATTAAAAATAGTTTATATTACATATGCTTCTGTGAACATAAGAGGAACAGACTGATCAATGCATTGAGAACTCGTTGCAGCTTGAGTCATGTGGTGACTTGACTTACAAATCATCGTCTCAGAGGCAAGACACTGTTAGCCTTTCATGCAAACTTCCTCTAGCTGATAACGTGTTGATGAAGACATGTATATAAAACTTCATGTAATCCCAAACTAAAGAAGGTACCTTATTCACATGATAACTGATTTTCAAAAAATTTTTATGAAGAGATAGCAATTTATAAATTACTTAATAGTAAAATGACAGCATATTTCAGTTTTCACTCAACTCTGCTAAAACAGGTAGATAATGGGTACTTTTTGTCCCCTTGTTTCAAAATGAGATATAAAGCTTCACGCTGAAATTAGGAAGCATTTCTACTGGGCTCTTACTGTTTTCTGAATTGAGGTTACCTGAGGTAGGAATGAGACCACAGAAGGGGCATTTTTTAAAGGAATAATCCCCTCCTACTCTCACTGTCTGAAGGAACCATCAGGAGGATAGCATGTGTCTACTGAATTTGACTGAAATAATGGCGACCAAAAGCGGTCACTAATTTTGAGCCAAGTGAGCCAATGGTGTCTTAAATCTTGCTCAGGTGAAAAAGTTTAAGTAGAAATGTGGTCTCCATGGCAGATAGACCACAAACATGCTGAGAGTACAGCCTCAAGCTAGGGGGAAGGAAGCTGGGTGAATAGTCCCCACAAAACTCACAAGTGAACAAGAAAACTGAGGCAGTTCCCTGTGCATACTTAGAGTACTTCACCTTTCAAAATAATATTGGGAAAGAGGCAAAATGAGTTCATTTATTAAATCTCAATGCTATCATTCCATATATACATATCATTGGTGAGGTGGGATGTATATAAACTTCCAATGCTGGCAAGGCACTTTTGGAAGCAAACCAAACATAAAGTAATAACCCACTAACTTTATTTACTACCTGTGGGGTGGCATGCATGCCACTGTGTCTTTGTGTGGTGGTCACAGGACAATTTAGTGTAGTAGGTTCTCTCCTTCTACCTTTACACAGGTTCCAAGGCTTGAACTCAGGTTGTTAGGCTTCATGGTAAGCCCTGTCACCTACTGAGCCACCTCACTAGACCTTGAACCTCAGTAAGTATTTGGATCTGGCTATCTGCCTGCCGTATTCTACAGACTAATCTATATAGTTCTTCTTAAAGAAAAGTAACTGACTATACTTATTTCTAACAATGAAAACTTAACATTCAAGGGAAATTCAGGAATTTTTAAAACAGGTACCAATTGATATGAGCTTAGATACTTCTCAGTATTTCTTGGATGTGTGGTGAGACTATGGTGTTCCTTAATAAATGCCATTTCCAGCAATGTCTAATGAATGGCGTGAACTTTAAGATAGGCAAAACTCAAACTTTTCCAAATTACCGTAGTTGAATGTGGGCCAAGGATCTACTCAAAGTCTAAGATGGACAAACACAGATGGGACAGCAGAATAAGACCTTGTTGATATTGTCTTTATGAGATAAGCTTCAAGAAGCTGCTGTTGTTGAGTTCTGGTGTAATATTTAAGAAAAATATTCACAGAAGAAATGAACCAGAGAATGGGGCTGGACTTGTTCAAAACATGTATGAAATTCTCAATTGAAAAATTCAAATAATATTTATTATTATTTAATAGGGCTGAAATAAAACCACCTTTTCTGGTTATGTATCTAAGTGAGAGCAGATTTACCTTAGAATGTCAACCACAGCTGCATACATGCTGGATTGTGTACAGACGACATCCAGGATTGAATGCGGACGACATCAGCTCCAGAGCAGCCAGTGTCAGTCCTCCAACAGCTTTGACTTCTGAAAACAAACCACAAACCTTCATAATCTGTGGTGACATTACAGAAAGTTATTTATTTATCCTATATGTTAAGAACAGATTTTATTTTGATTTCAGATCTTAATAGCATTAATATTGATTAATACTATGCCCAAACCAGAACTTTCTTTTTATTTCTCCATAACTTTCTTTCAAAGATTTATTTTTACTATTTCTAATTGTGTAACTCCGATTGTAGGCATGTGTAGGTGAGTTCAGGCGCCTATGGAGGCCGGAAAAGGGCATGACTTCCCCTAGAGCAGGAGTTAGGAAGTTGTGAGGTGCTAGAAACTGGACGTGGGTCCTCCATGACAGAAGAGTATGTTCTTCACCACCAAGCTATCTCTGTAGGACACACAATACCTAATTCAATTCTTAATATGGATTATCTTCCAGGAACTGTCTTCAACCTCTTCCTAATGGTTACTTCACTTTGTTATTCAAGACTGAACTTTTACCAATTGCCCTACAAAAATCTCACCTTCCTCCTCCTTAAATGCCTGAAGTCATTCATTCCTGTTGTTCATTGAGCGTGTCAAACTAAACCTTGACACTCATTAGAGCATGTTTTAATTATTTCAGAGTTTGTCCATCTCTCCCAGGGTGTACAGAAGTCTGATGTTGTTGTCAGCTTCTGGGACAGGAATTAGACACTCTCCACCTTACCGTTCCGCATGGCCAATGCCAGCTGCAGTCCTAGAATATGGCGTGTTCTGACACTTACTGTGTAATGGATGAATCTACTACTGTAAAATTTCCAATGTTTTGAAATGTTGATGAATGTGTTAGCAAGTTTATGCCACCTTCTTGTCATAGTTCTAACTCTCGGGGAGTAGCAGCTTTATGACATATTTTGAATGTTACTTACGGGAGTGAACAGTGTGGAGATGGCCCAGGGTTGGAGTCTTTGTAAATAGTCTGTGTAAATAGTCTTGCTTTTCTCTAACACACTGTAAACTACAAAATCTTATCCTGTCAATATCTCCATGGTACTACTGGCAACCCAGTCCCAAAAGACCCTTCTCACACCAACATGCACAGTGCTGTCCCCCTGCCTTTCGGTTGTCCTCAAGCACAACTTATTTTCCTTGTATTTTCCCACAACGTATCATCGAGGTCTATGGTATTAGACATTCTTCATGGTTGTTAGATTGCAATTTAATACATTTTTGAGAACTTAATATATGAGCACTGTGTCTACAAAACCCTCCCTTCACTCCAAGACACGAATGGTTAAAGAAGGTGTGGAACATATACACATTAGAGTTTTACTCAGCGGTAAAAAACAATGACATCTTGAATTTTGCATGCAAATGGATGGAAATAGAAAACGCTTTACTGAGTGAGGTAACCCAGACTCAAAAAGAGGAATATGGTATGTACTCACTCATAAGTGAATTCTAGCCATAGTTAAAGGTCTTTGAGTCTATAATTCGTTATCCTAGAGAAGCTAAATAAGAAGGTGAACCTGAAGAAAATCATATAGTTATCCTCCTGGATATTAGAAGTAGACAAGATTGCCAGGCAAACTTGGGTACACGGCAGGGGGGGTGGAAGTAAGGGGACATGGTTAGGGAGAGGGGAGAGGAGGAGGATTGGGGATGGCTTGGGGGAATGGGAGGGGGGAGGGAGGAAGGATGGTTATGGGAGCAGGGAAGTTTATATCTCAACTAAGGGAGCCATTTTAGGATTTGCAAGAGACTTGATTCTGGAGGGGTTCCCAGGCCCAAGGAGAGGTCCCCAGATTGTTCCCTGGGCAGCAGAGGAGAGAGTGACTGAACTGGCCTTGGCCCATAACCATACTGATGAATATTTTGCACGTCACCATAGAACCTGTATCTGGCGATAGATGGAGATAGAGACAGAGACACACACTGGAACGCTGGACTTAACTCCCTAGGTCCAAATGAGAAGCAGATGGAGGGAGAACGTGAGCAAGGAAGGCAGAACCAGAGGGAACCTTCATTTGATGATGGATGGAGATAGAGACTGAGACCCACATTGGAGCACTGGACTGAGCCCCCAAGGTCCAAATGAAGAGCAGAAGGAGGGAGAACATGAAAAAGGAAGTCAGGACCGCGAAGGATGCGTTCACCCACTGATACAACGGGACTGATCGAATGAGAGCTCACCAAGGCCAGCTGGACTGGGACTGAACGAGCATGTGATCAAACCGAATTCTCTGAATGTGGCTGACATGGGGGCTGACTGAACCCCCAAGGTCCAAATGAAGACTGAGAAGCCATTGACAACGGCACTCGGTCTTGTTTCATCTGCATGTACTGGCTTTTTGGGATCCTGGTCTGTTTGGATGCTCACCTTCCTGGACCTGGAGGGAGGGGGAGGAACTTGGACTTCCCACAGGGCAGGAAACCCTGACTGCTCTTGGGATTGGAGAGGGAGAAGGAGAGGGAGTGGGGGGAGCGGGAGGGTATTGGGAGGAGGGGAGGAAGTGGAAATTCTTATAAATAAATAAATAAGGAAAAAAGAACTTTATAAAAAAAAAGAAAGAAAGAAACTGATTCTAGATAATTCTTTAATAAGTAAGTTCATTCTGTCCTGTCTGGGTTAGTCCTGGAAACTTGTTGGGGTCAAGAAATGAAAAAAGAACAGACACACAGAAACACATACTGGAAAGCTGGGGTGGGTAGACTGTACTCACTCGGCTGGGGCAATATCAACTACACAATATAACCCAGAACTGCAGTGCTTTTATTATGAACTTCATTGGGGAGGGATTAGCGCGTCTAAGTCCAGGAAAAGGAAGCTGTGGTTGCTAGTTCTCATGCACACTGGTCAATAGTTCATCAACACTGACACTTACACACACTGTCAACATTCACACTTGGGCCAGGAGAAGACAGCCATTTTTGAGCCTGACCCATATGGCCATGCCACTCCAACCTTACATGCTCATTCACAGTTTCTTTAGCTCGCCATGTAAGTTATTCTTGATGAATCTGATAGTGGCCCTAACTGTTCACCATATTAACATCCACCCAGAGCCTCCATACCAAAGATGCTATTCTTCATGGATTCCAAAATGTCACGTCTAACCTTTCTGCCCAGCAACTGTTACAATAGATGTTACAACAAATGTTGGGGTGATCATGTCTCTTGAATGGTGTCTTTCCTCCACAACGTGGGCCACCCACTCTGACAGACATATGGATGACTGGTGTATGATACAGCTTCAACATTTGAGGACATGATTTCCCATTCCACCTATCATTCCCGCAACTTATACTGTCTGATCTGGCCCTCTCGCACTGCTCAGCACTGCTCAACTTCTAGCCTGTCAATCATCCTATAGCAATGACTGCATCAATTGCCTGCATCGGCGCTTTAGGGGCCCCTCATTACTGATCTCCCTTTGCGGCTGGCCAAGGGTACACTAAGTTCTGATAAAACCTAAGAAGCCAATGGTCACATCAAGATGAAGCCAAGTCACAAAGGCTAAAGACCCACTTGTCTCAAAAAACCTGGATGGTCTTTATACACTTAGCTGCTCAAGGATGGTGGCATTTTTGTAGTATTTTTTTTTACTGCTCAAACATTTGTTGTCAAAAGCAAAGGAAAAATTAGAGTACCCAATTTTTAAATGCTTTGAAACCATTGTACCAGTCTTCAGTCACAGAAGAAAGATCGTCTTGATTTCAGCCTTCTATGTGAAACAAACACTTTTATGAGGTAACTCTTATTCATGATTTGTCATGTTCTTGAAAAATTTGGAATTTTTACATTATTACCCAAAATGTAGTTGTGGATATATTTCAAAAATCAAATCCTTTTAAAATTAAAAATTCTGTGCAGATGGGTGTTTATTTGGGTGCCTGTTGCCTTGGAGGTTAGAAGTGGGCACCAGACACCTCTGAAACTGGAGCTATAGACAGTTGCGAGATGCCGTGTGGATACTGGGATTTGAACCCAGATCCTCTGGACGAGTAGCAGCCAGTGTTCTTAACTGTTGAGCCATCTCTTTAGCTCTGACAATAAAGTTTTATGAGTTATTTTAAAGTGCTTCATCAGTAACAGTGTTACATTTGGTTCTTGATATTTATGATCTAGTCACATCTTCTGAACCTCAAGTGAATTCCTGTTCAACTCTACTGGTACAGATAGGGGGATTCTGTGTAAAGGGGACAATGACAGTGACTGATGAGATGAAACCGGAGGCATTGTCCTTTGTCTCATGACAGCTGTTAAAATGTCTTGTTGAAATGTCTGAGCGTTTGCATGGAACGTGGAACTAATAATACAGCCATATCCTTCTTAAAACCTTAGTTTTGCCTTTAAACCATCTGCCTATGAATGTATCTAATTATATAAATTATATCATTAGCTATAATATAATCAGACACTAATGCTGAGTTCAAACCCAAGTCACATTTACTACTTGGCTCAAACAGTGCTCACAAGATGTGATAGTACTTCTGGGACTTCATTAATGTATTTCAGTGTTGTTTCTAGAAAAGTCCACAGTGCAATCAATAGAAAGACCCAATGTAACCCCTAAATGTGCTTTTGAGTGTTGAAATGAACGCAACGAGTGAGGCAGAAAATTGCATTTTCATAACCCTGGGAAAGAGGATTCTGCAGGTCTGTGAAACACAGGCTAAGCTCACCCATAAGCTCCACAGAACTGCCTCCGTGTGACCTCGAGATACACACAAATCCAACAAGTATCGATTTCAGAATTCCCAAATGGAAGGCCTCTCTTCTTCAATTAAATATATGCAAAGGCTGCATTCTAAAAGCCACTTGTAAACACCAATTATTAACTAAAACTGCCAGAAGTGTTCTTGATGTGCCATCTGATGCACCTCCTATGGCTATCTTTCACAAAAAGAGTCCATCAGTGCCACAGTGCTTTCCTCCCAAACTGTAATGTAAATAGCCTTGTTCCTGAATACTCAGATTCCATAAGTCTCAGTTACCAGTAGTGGAAAGTTGGCCATGACTTTTTTCTAAGATTACCTGACTCCAACAATTTCCCCTGTAAGTCTTTCCAGTAACTAGAGAACACACCTCACCTTTTTTCTGATTCATTTTTTAACTTTTTGATTCTAACTGTTCCTTCAAGAACAAAGACAAGGAGGCAAAACTCATGGTGTCTTAAAAATAAGGAGAACTGGAAAGGAAACACAGGCCAGGGACCCAAGCGTGTAGGACACAGCAGCCAACAGTGTGGCATCTGAGAGAGACAGGAAGAGGCTGCCATCAATCTGAGTCTAGCATTTAGGGTTAGGGGTCTTTTAGCCATAGGCAGGAACATGAAAGATCCTGAAGAAAGATTCTGATGTCAGGGCATTCTGGTTTCAGTCCAGGGCTTCTGGGAATAGAAGAAAGAATGCAGAAAAAAGAAAGAAGAGAATGAACCAAGGATTGGGGTCGGAAGGAGTAGCTGGATGTGTCTGAGTCTGAGGGCAAACAACACTATTTCCAGCTTGGAAAAAGTCTACTTCTGGGCACCCTGGTATTGAAGATTGTGGTCATCGGGACAAGCAACTCTATCAAGAAAAGGCAGATAGTACCCCCAACACAGTCCCACCAACACTAACTTGAGGTTGACTTCCCAGATTTGATTCCTCTGGAGTTAGGTTGAATTTGTATGAGTTAATGAGAAAGGAACAAAGATGTGTTCGATATCAGAATCAGAACAACATAATATTATCTGTTTTACCTGGAGTAAATCTTCACATTGGCCATATATATGTAGTTCAAGACTGGCCATGTCAATGTCTCAATAAACTCAGCCCCATCGTCTGCTCAGAGGCTGGCTTAGTCAGCCACTCACCTGATCTCACTGCATGTCCCCTGAGGGACTGTGGCAGTCTGTCCTCACTGCCATGCCAGAATGCCACGTCCATGCGGCTTCTAAGCTCCAACATTTATTTCTCATAGCTCCAGAGTCAGTGGCTTTCCTCATAGATGGTGTCATTCCTCTTCCTTCTCATCTGGGGGAGTGGCACACAAGTCCAGCCATCTAATGGACACTTACCCCATTCAAAGGTTTCACCTTCATTGGCCAATACCTCCCTCTAGAAGTAAATCTCTTGGGATTCAGGACACAGTTCAATCTTGGTAAAGTGCTTTGATTGCTGATTAACTTCTTGAGAACACAAGTGAAGTTTAACTATCTTCTCATAGTCTCCACACTGCAAGCAGCTCCTAAACCATGCTAGGACTACGACAGTCCAAAGCCAAGGGCACAGCTGACCTTGGATCCCTTTTGTTAATCCTGTGTGTTGGTCAAGCATTTTCCTTCAAAACTACCCTTCTTAACTTTACTGTTCCTTTGATAGACACAAGATACAGTGTTTGACATAAAACCTTAGGCAAAGGTTGCCTTACCTAGACACAATTCACAATGTCTTCTTATCAGAGCCCTCAACTCACATGAACACATGGAGTCTTCATGTGAGTTTGACTTCAATCCTTGTTATAACTCTGGACTGTAAGGCATCAGACACAGATAGAATTTACCATGTGATGAAAACAGGCTCACTTGGTCTCTTCTCACCCATCGCTGCTGCTCAACCAACTGATGATATGAACAGCTGCGTGAAGCAATGTGAAGTTGCCATCAACCAGTTCTGGAAGTCATAGGGATGGGGCCTCTTCAGGGCCACTTGCCTCCCAGGAGACTGGGAGTCAACCCTCCCTCTTGCCTTCTCCAGTTTTGAAATGAACGAGCATAGTTTGCTCGGGACCACTTTCCTTCTTCAGACACCAGTGATGGTGAACTGAGGTTCTTTCTCAAAGCTGTCCACTGGTAAGTTGCTGGGAACCATGGAGCAGGCCTGGCGGGGCTGCCTTGAGAGGCATGCATGCATCATCGGCTTTTCAGGTCAGAGTCCATGGCTCCTGGGGAACATGGTCCCTTCCAGTTCCTGAGAGACCAATCAATGTACTCCCACAGACAGCAAAGCATTCGGGTCACTGTGTGCATCTCTGTTTGTCCTTTTAGTAGTCAAGGAAGCATGCAAACTTAACAGGACAATTGGTCTTAGACAGTGATCTGTGTACCCTGTATGGCTTGCAAACTTTGCTGTATCCTGGCAACTACAACTGTATCGATCCTGACCACAACAATTATATTCTCTTTCTGATAATGGTATAAAAAGTTTGATAGCTCTCAATAAATTTCTCAAAGCCTCAGTTGTTCTGTGACCCCTCCACTCTGGCCTGATTTCAGTCTTGGTGGCTGTATCAGGTGGTGTTGGTCTGGTAAGTAAGCTTAGGCACTTACAATAAGGGCCTCTTCCCACTCTAGAGGAGCCTATTAGGATGTTGGTTCCCTTTGCAGCCTCCATTGCAGCAGGCCTTCTTTTGGACTCAGACCAGCTCCCAAATCATGAAACAGAGACTTATTATTAGTTATGAATGCTCAGCCTTAGCTTAGGCTTATTTATGGCTAGCACTTATAACTTAACCTGTTTCTCTTAATCTGTTTAGCCTCAGGGTTTTTAACCTTTCTTTCATTCTGCATGTCCTACTCCATGCCTTTCTGGCTGGTGGCTGCCTGGCTGCCTGACTGCCTGGCCCCCGGTGTCCATCTTTCTCCCTCATTCTCTTCTCTTCTCTCAAGCCTAGATTCCTCCTCCTATTTATTTTCTCTGCCCACCAACCCTGCCTAGCTATTAGCTATTCAGCTTCTCACTAGACAAATTGGGTGCCTCGGGCAGGCAAAGCAACACATCTTTACATCATTAAACAAATGCAGCATAAACAAATGTAACACACCTTTACATAGTTGAAGTAATATTCCTCAACACTCCCTTGCCTTTCTCAACACAACAGAATAGATTCAAGGGGCAGGGGTCTTGATGTAGATAGGACAGGGAGCTGGTTCTGCTCACCACACCCCTTTCTGGCCTGGTTGAGGGTACATTATCACAAAAGCCATCCTGATAGCCTCACCAATAGCTTCACACCAGCCGTGTCATCAAGCTGTGAACAGAGAGACAGATAATTCTAGCTCGTGCCTAGAAGATGACCAGTTTTCAGGGACAGAATTTGGTTTTCTTCTGTTCTTTTTTTTTTAAATTTACTTATTTATTTATAAAAATTTCCACTTCCTCCCCTCCTCCCAATACCCTCCCATTCCCCCCACTCCTTCTCCTCCTCCCTCTCCAGTCTAAGAGAAGTCAGGGTTTCCTGCCCTGTGGGAAGTTCAAGTTCCTCCCCCCTCCCTCCTGGTCTAGGAAGGTGAGCATCCAAACAGACCAGCATCCCTAAAAGTCAGTACATGCAGACAAAACAAGACCCAGTGCCATTGTCAATGGCTTCTCAGTCAGCCCCCATGTCAGTCACATTCAGAGAATCTGGTTTGATCTTCTGTTCTTAAATTGAAGTCTCATGTATCTGAGCGTGTTCCAGAACACCCAGCTTAAGCAATTCAGGAGACCAAATACCAACTTTGACACTAAGCAGTCTCACCAACTGAGACCATCCCCAGTCAGTGTTCTCTCTCAAATTTGTAACAGCTTACCTCAAGAGGAAGAGCCATGCCTCCAAAGTGTGAATACATTAGTCCTGGATGACTCACAACCCGGACCCTGAGGTGAGCCAGCACCAAGCAAATGCTGGCGCTCGGTGTTTCAGCCGAGACCTCAGGCAACACTTGCGGGTGTTCTGAATCTGCTGCCTCCTTCGGATGCCCTTGGTGTCATCCTGGGTTCCTGCTCAGTTAGCTTCCCAGGCTCCACTTTTCTCCACAATTCTGTTGCATTTCTCCCCGGAGCTTCGATCAGAACAAATGTGTCAGCATTCCTAACAGATGGTTGCTTTCAACCGTGAGCAAGGATCCCTAATATATCAGAGAAACTCTGAGCAATGCTGGAAACACATGGGAAAGGCAGGCTGGCTGCACCCAGAAACACAGGCAGGACAAAAGCGGCTACTACCCATGAGGCCGTGGGGCAGAGGTACATGATGACTGTAAGACCCACCTGCACCACTATGCTTCTTAAGTTGAATGGAACCCAAGAAATGGAGGTGTGTGTGTGTGTGTGTGTGTGCCAAGAATCTACTCCACATCAGGGCTTGGGTTTAATGTCAAACCAACTGTCATAGTAAAAGACACAGCTAAATGAGACCCTTTCCTTCCAGTTCTTCCAATGGGTTTGTCTGGATGGCACACACTTGAACCTTCTCTAGGTTGTACTCAATCTGCAAAGTAGAGGTGATTGTCTCTTAAAGTTTAGGAAGAGAATGTTCTCTGGACAAACAAGGGATTGTTAGTGTGTTTTACTGTCAAACATAAAGCCATGAGGTCAAGGTAGTCATTTGAAACTTGTCACAAATTTGGCAATATTCTCAAATGGGTGCACAAACATCACGTGAAAATGTAGGAGAGGATCTTTACTTTGGTGAGTCACACTGACGTGTCCTCATTACAGAAATGTTCACACTCAGCACAGCAGCAGGGATACTCCTTCCTTGCTGGACAATAGATGTCTACTACTGTCAAGGAGGAGGAAGGGTTTTGAGCCTATACCTTGAGGCTCCTTAGAGGGCGTGGAGATATCTTAGGAGAATTTAACATCCTGTGATTACCCAGAAATACAATTACCAAAGGCTTAAAGTATGCACTCTGCTTGACTCATTTACCAAATGGCATTCACTATCTCAGAAAATTATGCCAGCAGCCACACCCCTTCTGATGCAGTCAAAGCCAGCTTAGCAAGACCACAGCCTGCATCGGTCTGCACTTACAACTTTAATAAACTTGCATTATTAACAGACACAAACATCCTTGCTCATCAGTTTCAAATTGTCAATATGAGAACAAGGAGACTGTAATTAAAGTCGCCTTCACATGTAAACCTAAGTGGTGGCAAGTGTAATCTATTGTAATATAGTTCACTGCTTATGTGAATATAATTGTCCTCATTCCTTTATGCAGTAAAAGGGATTGGCTTTTCATTATAAATTACTTTCTTTTAGTTTTTCACTTATTTAAAATGAACCTTTTTAAAAATTACTTAAACTGAAGTATGGTTATATTATCCATGCATTTTTGTTGATTATAGTAATCTAGTCTACATAGGCAACAGACAAAAACCAAACAAAAGGCAGGACATTGAGAGAGGCCCAGGGAGATTTCTCTTTGGTATTCCACGTTTCCACTTTGTGTTTCCTGATCTCTGCTTCAGTTTCACTTATAAACTGTGACACTGAATTCTCCAAGGCAACATTTTATCAATTCAATCTCTTGTGTGTTTTATTTCAAGTAATAACTTGGTTATTCTTAGTCCTACATCCTTTTATATAATTTTGAAATATGAGATGAGAAATAAAGAAAGGACATGGCAGGTGGCTGGTGCTTTCTTAAATGAGACATTGGAAATGATAATGGTTCAGGCATCTCTTAAATATTTATACACATTAATAGCATAGTAAAATTAAAGCGTATTCTATTTTGGAAATAATATGCTGAATTTGAGTCTTGAGTCTCTTTCTGACTGCCTTTACTAAGTCTTTCTTGAGTTTTTCAAAATTTTTAAAATGTCTCCATTGATCAAATATTTTATACAATGCATTTTTGCCTTTTAACTATTGAAATAGTTATTAATCTTTAGTAGAGAATATTAAGCAATATTTCATAAAATTCAAACAAATCTCAGATTCTGGCTTCTCAGTTGCGGTTTATCTATGTCTCTGGTACATATTTCATGTCTAACTTGTTTAAATGCATCCTGTGGTTGTACTAACTGTGCCATTAGGCAACACATGATGCTTAACTAGTCACACGCTTTGTCTTAAATTATTCAAAACTATTCATTAATGTTAACTCTATATTGCAATAGTTCTGGAAACGTTTACCAGTTTCTCAAAATCACTAACAATATTAGACAAAGTGCCAAGTGTCAGATACACCATACCTCCCCAAGGGTTCTTGGTCAGGATGACCCCAGAGGTTCCCCAAAACAGCACAGGTTATTGCCATTGCCCCTGGTTCTCTGGGAATCCACCAGAACTCAGCAATAAGAGCCGAGAGCTGAAGACGCCACAGATTT